CTTTGGACCATGAGGCAGCATGCCAAGGCTAGCAGAGCAGTGAGATGAAAGGATTCTGGTCTCCTGCTAATGGAGACACCTCCATACCAGCCCTGATCATCTCCCACTTTCATTGTACACTTATTATGGATCAGACCCTTTGGTAAACGTAGTTTTCAGGAATTCCTTTGAACTGAGCAATGTAATCCCCATTTTACCAAGAAGGAGCCGAAGTCAAGAGTTAACCTGCCTCATGCAAACTGTCACAGCCAGGAGGTGGCAAAGCTGCAGCTCCCATATACATCTGTCTGCCTCCACAGCTCCCCTTTTCCAACCACAGCCCCCACCGCTGCCCTCCTCGCCAGCCACCTTTGCCACACACAGGATCGATCAGGGCTGTTCCCGACATCAGCTCTGCCCACCTCACCCCAGAACCTTCACCAGCAACCCCTTTTCCTGGAGTCGACAGGTCCAGGGGCCACACTTTGAGCACAGATCCTGCTCTGCAACTTACCACATGATCCTGGGCAAGTCACTCAGCTTCTCAGGGCCTCTATTTTGTTCTTACCGAAAAGTGGGGATAAAATTGCCAACCCCGCAGGGTTGGGAGGATTCAGAGACAAAGCCCAAGGTGGCCCAGCCCAGAGCTCGGAGCACAGAACAGGCTGCAGGTGCAGCTGGGATTGCTCTTGTTAAGAAGCTGGAGCAGCCTGTGGGGCTGTCCCCACCTGGGCCTGGGTACTGCACTTGCTTTTGGCTCCTCCGAGTCCTGCTCCCTTGGGGCCCCCGGTTGGCCAGCACCACCTCCTGCACAGGCAGAGACGCCAGGTCCTGGCATTGGATCTGAATCACTGAGATCCCGGTCACACACCCCATGTGAAGGTGGCAGAGGGAACTCTGTAGTCACGAAAACAGCAAGAAATGGCCCATAACGTCAGAGACATTGAAATCACCACTACCTCGGAGCCCACCCAGCACAGGCACTCTAGAAGTGACATTTGCTTTTCAAACACTCACAGGTAAAGCCTGGGTCAATGGTCATGTTTCCAGGGCACAGATGGAGAGCTGCCCAGGGAGGCTGCTGCCTGGGAACGATTCGATCCCTGGTGAGCAGGCAGATCTGAGGGCTGGGGCTGGCCCCTCAAGCCCTTCCCCTTGCCCAGTGGAGCATTATGACTAGAAGTGTGGGCTGGACCCAGACCGTCTGCGTTCAGGCCTGGCTCCCATGAATTGGCTGCACATGATTAGCTACACAATTATGTTCACTTGCAGGAACCTCAGCTTCCTCTGGTAAATTCAGGTGAATTTCAGACGCACTTCATAGGATTGTTCAAGGCCCATTCATGCAACACTTATTAACAGGGTGCTTGCTGAGTGCTGGGTACAGCAGACCTCGCTGCAAGAATGGCATCCCAGGCCTCCTGAGTTCTCGCTGGGTGGGGAGGAGGGATTAATGAAACGTACAAAGTCCTCAGAGCAGCACCTGACACTTAGGAGGCCTCCAGTCAATGCTGTGACTTTGGGGGTGTTTGTAGCTATCACCTGGGAAAGCCAAGAGCTGATTGTGGTCAAGTCACCCCCAGCAAACCCCATGAAGGACGTGGGGCAGTGATTATTTCCCTAGTTTATGTATGGGAGACGGCGGGGCCAGACACTGGCATAGCTCAGGTCTATTTGGTGTGTGATTTATCTCACACACGCACACACACACACACACACACAAACACACAGGCCCATGTGTTGATGGGGATACTGAGGCACGCGGGAAGCAGAGTGATTAGTCCAGAATCACACAGCTCGGCAGAGGCCAGGCAAGGTCTTGGGGATTTTTTGTTTTATTTCATTTTTGAGACAGGGCCTCGCCAGTTGCCCAGGCTAGAGTGCAGAAAATACAATTACAGCTCACTGCAGCCTCCAATTCCTGGGCTCAAGCAATCCTCCTGCCTTAGTCTCCTGGGGGCTGGGACTACAGGCATGTGCCACCACACCCAGCTAATTTTTAAATTTTCTGTGAGATGGGGTCTTGCTATATTGCTCAGTCTAGTTCTCAAACTCCTGGGCTCAAGTGATCCTCCCACCGTGGTTTCCCTAAGTGCTGGGATTACAGGTGTGAGCCACTGCAGCTGGTCCCAGGTGAGGTCTTGAACCCAGGTCTCCTGGCTGCCAGCCCCAGTGTCTGCCCCCACACCACCTACTGGCAGCGCTCTTCCTGCAGACAGGAACAGTAACAACTCTCTAGGTGCCATCCTCAAATGTGACCGCGTCAGTGCCCCACAGTCTGTGCATAGCCCCATAGCATAGGCCACAACACAGAAAACGCCTCCCTGCCAAGGCCTTTGAGACGTCCATGCATCTGGGAGTTCGGGACGACAGGAAGGAATACACTGGCCATCCTATTGGCTTCCCGGGAAGAGGGAAGGTGGCAAATAGTGGTGACCACACCCAGCGCTCTAGAACTTTCCTGTCCCGTCTGTATCTGCATGGTCAAGCCTGGCCCAGGCCTAGTAATCCATCACTGGGGCTATTCTTAAGTTTTTAGTAGAATTTGTGTTTTGAATTGTAACTAGTGGGTACAGTTTGGCACCCAAAGAGTATTGAAGGGGTGAAGGTAAAAGGCAAAGCCGGCCCCGCCCTGGTCCTGCAGCCCCCAGTCCCCTTCCTGGAGGCCCCACTGTGGAGCTGGTCTGTGCATTCGCAGGTGCTTCTGTGCCCCGAATGACAGCCCGCCAGCCACGTCACATCTCACTTGCTTCTTTCTCTGCAGAAAGGGCTCCAAGATGTCCCGATTTGTGGTGAAGGCTGCACCATATTCTGCTGTGAAGATGGTCCATGGTGCATTTAGAAGCCCCCGACAACACATGCGGAGGTTCCTCCTGGTCTTTGCACACATGGTGTCTCATGTACATGGGAACTGGGTTGCTGGGTCAAAGGGCACGTGTGTTTGTCATCCAGGTGGACCCATTTCACCCCTGCTTTCCTCCCAGGAACCCCTGTCTCTGGGCCCACAGGCAAGAGGCCCACTCTTCCCCATCTGCTCACACCATCCGTGGCTCCCTCTGCCTTTGACATGAAGTCCAGGCCCCCAGCCTGTCACTCGAGGCACCCAGAGGCTGGGCCTCACTTCCTCTCCAGCCCCACACTCATCTGACGGACACTCTGAAAGGTGGCAATGAGAATGGACGATGACCAGACCTTTGGCACACACTGTCCCATCTAACCTCCACCTCAACTCTTATTACTATGGCAATATCCACACCCATTTCACAGAGTCAGTGACTTCCTGAATGTCCACAGCTGGGCGACAGGAGACAGGACCCTCCACCTTGGGCCTCTCTTTCCATTTCCCCAGCCACTCTACTGACAATAGAAATCTCCTCCTTCCCAGTCCAGCGTCGTGTAACCGCAGATGCTCTCACTCCAGTGAGACCAACCCCACATCTTCCCTGCCTTGACTCCCTTTCCCAAGAGTCCAGGCACAGCTGGACAGCTGGCAGGGGCCGGGTTGGCACACTGCTCTTAGTTGACTCTCTCAGTGGAAGACAGAACTTTGGTGGCGTGCCAGGCCCCAGGCAGGGGCCACAGAAACAGCAGTGAGCACGACAGTGCAGCCTGCAGGGAGTTTGCAGTCCATGCAAGTCTTAGTTCCATGGAGGGCAGGGCCATGGTGATTGCTTTGCCGAATACCCTTGTTTTAATTACGGGTCAACCGAGGCTCAGGAATGCCCCATGACTGGCCTAAGCCCTCCCATCCTGAGAGAAATGGTGCCTGCCCTGGAGCCCAGGCCTCCAGACTGGCTGGAAGTCCCATGACCACACTAATGATTCAGCTGGACAGTCTAGCTTTGGAGCCACCTATGAGCCATGTGGTCTTTCTGTGCCTCAGTTCCCTCACCTGTAAGAGGAGGCTACTAAGAGGGGGCTACTGAAGATTGGCCAATTAAAGGGTCTGGCTCCCCGGAGGCCAGATAGCCAAGAGCTGCTGTCATCCCACCTTCATGGTCCACGAGGGAACGAGAAAACTGTTTTCCAGTTAAACTTTGGGCCCCAGTGCCACTTGTCCTCTGGTGATAAAAATACATTAACCAGGAGCAAATTACAGGATTTTCACTTAATTATCCTACAAAATCAGAAAACAGGGTTTTAAACATTTGTTATTTATGCGTAAGATAATGTTCTGGACAGAAACCTGAACCTTTTCAGTGCGAACTTCAACATGTCCATGGCTGGTGCTGAAGCTCTGACACCCACTGACCTGGGTTTGAAGCCTGTTTACACCATTAGCGACCCGTGGGGCCCGGTCCAGTCACCGAAGCCTTCAGGTTCCCATTGGGAGGGGGACCGTTGCTGTCGTTACTCAGGACAGGTGATACAGGACCCCGGGCCGAGAGCACCCCATCAATGCAACTGCTCCCAGGACAGGAGTCGCCCGTGGCTGCGCGTCCCGGTTCGCCCGGAGCAGCGGCCCTGGCCTCCGCGCGGCGGGCCTGGACTTGCAGAGGCCGGCTCCGGAGCCTGCGGCGCGGCTCCTCCGGGAGAGGGTGGCCTGGCACGGGCCAGTCACCGGCACCAGGGGACGCGCGGGGAGGCGGCGGGGCCAGGAGCGCAGGCCCGAGCCACCACGTGCCAGCGCCCCGGAACCGCTCGGGTGTTTTCAGCCGCGCTGCTCTGGACTTCCCGACCCCATCCCGGGGACGCCCCCACTAGACAGCGGGGCGCGCGCGACAGAGGAAGTGGGGAACGCAAGTCCAGCCACCAAAACGCAGTCTGGCCGCTGTCCCGCAGCATGTCGCCCACCCGGGCAGCTGCCCAGCTGCGCCCGGATCGCGTGGGCGGAACCGCGAGAGGGGCCGGGCCGCTCCGCGCGCTGCTGTGCTCCGTTCTCCGGGATTTCCGAGCAGCCCGGGGCTGGACGGGGAGGCGGGGAGACAGGGGGCGGGGCAGAAGGGTGGGCGGGGCCGAGACTCCGAGTAGCCCCGCCCCCGCCTGCCAATCGCCCTCCCTGCAGTTACATAAGTGCCCTCAGCCGGCAAGAGGGGTCTCTCCGCGAAGGCTCATCTTCTACATTAATTATATGCCTTTTAATATTTTCGAATCACACAAGAATACGTGATACATCACCACTATGGTGAAATTAGAAAATTCAGAGCAGCTGCTCTACGGGAGTCCTTTTCAGAGTAAACCACCTGCTAACCCCTTGGTGTACCTCCTTTACATAAAAACATCCAAAGTATAATTTAAACGATAGTTTTAAACATCAGTAATGGTCACGGGCTCCACCCCTCCTTCCAATGGCAACGCTTCCATGTTTGCACATCCCCTTCCTGCCTGCGGCAGGTAAGCTGGTGACAATGGCAGGGTTCACCATCTCTGTGGGTGGTAATTTTTGCGGTTGCCTAGAGACGGCACAGTCCCTGGAGCCTGGCGGTCTGGGCTCATCAGCCATCTCTGCTGGGTGACGGTGGGCTGGTGACTTCGAATTTCCAGGGCTCTATCTCTTGGTCTGTTCATTGGAGATAATAATTAGTGGCTACTAGCTAAGAAGGTTGTGGGATTAACGATTAATAGTCCTAAAGTACATAAGAAGTACTCAACAAAAGAGTAAGCTATTATTACTGAGGTCTCCTTCATGTATCAAGAACAATGTGTGCTAATTATGTAACAACATAATTTGGTCTTTGCATACTCTCCCAAAGCTCACCACTCCATTCCCTTCTTTTCTTTTTTAATCAACCAATATCTTCAGCAAATAAGTCACTATAACTGTGTTATTTAGTTCCTTGCTCTACAGAATGGAGATAGTATGAACAGCACCTGCCTCCCAGGGATGTTTGAGGATTAAATGAGATGCTGAGGGGTGAATGTATATAACTGGCAAAGCAGTGTGCCTGACATGCATTACCTGGCCAATAAGAACACAAACAAGCTGGGTGCTGTGGCTCACACCTGGAATCCCAGCACTTTGGAAAGCCAAAGTGGAAGAATCACTTGAAGTCAGGGATTTGAGAACAGCATGGCCAGTACAGCAAGACCCCTCTCCTAAAAAAAAAAAAAAAAAATAGCGCAGCACGGTAGTGCATGCCTGTAGTACCACCTTGGAAGGCTTAGGCAGGAGGATTTCTTGAGTCCAGGAGTTCTGATGTTACAGGGAATTATGACAGCACCGTTGCACTTCAACCTGGGCAACAGAGCCAGACTTTGTCTCACACACACACACACACACACACCCACACCCCTGTTCCTATCACTGCATGTTGTCCAGTGCTCATGGAGAAGCCAACCTGGGCTGGGATTCTAGAGCAGGCAAGGAATCCAGAAGTCTAGGGCACTAGCCCATCCTTCCTCGGTGGCAGAAACTGAGTCTGGAAGAGGGTAAGTGGCTTGCCCAAGCGCAATTCCCTCTACCTTCCCATGAAGCTTCTCAATTTAGTCCAATTAAGGGTAGCAAATACATGCTGACACTGCCTCCTTACCAATATGAGTACAAAATAGTCTCTGAAAATAAATCCTTCAGAATAGCTAAAAAATTACAAAATGTGAGAACATTCAAGTAAGACTCAAGTGTTCTTACATCAGAGGATACAAAAAGCCACTGGAATCTAATCAGTAATTGGTGTTGATATAGGAATGGAAAATTGATGAGCCAAACAGAAGACAGAACTAGAATTAAATCTAAAGCATGTGCTAGACTAGTTTATTACAAATGTCATAGTTCAATTCAGTAAAAAGGAACACTTTTACACTGTTGGTGGGAGTGTAAATTAGTCCAACCATTTTGGAAGACAGTGTGGCGATTCCTCAAGGACCTAGAAATAGAAATTCCATTTGATCCAGCAATCCCATTACTGGGTATATATCCAAAGGATTATAAATCGTTTTACTATAAGGCCACATGCACATGAATGTTCATTGTAGCACTGTTTACAATAGCAAAGACCAGAACCAACCCATATGCCCATCGATGATAGACTGGACAGAGAAAATGTGGCACATATACACTATGGAATACTATGCAGCCATCAAAAACGATGAGTTTGTGTCCTTTGTAGGGACATGGTTGAACCTGGAAACCATCATTCTCAGCAAACTGACATAAAAACAGAAAATCAAACACCACATGTTCTCACTCATAGGTGGGTGTTGAACAATGAGAACACATGGACACAGGGAGGGGAGCATCACACACTGGGGTCTGTCGGGGGGAAATAGGGGAGGGACAGCAGAGGGTGGGGAGTTGGGGAGAGATAGCATGGGGGGAAATGCCAGATATAGGTGATGGGGAGGTAATTTAAAAAAAATTCAGTAAAAAGGAATAAATTAATAATAAATATTGCTGGGAACTGGCTAGCCATTGGAAAGGGGAAAATGGACTCCGACCTTATGCCAAATACAAAAGTAAATTTTAGACAGATTAAATACCTAAATATAATAAAGTAAACAATAAAAATTTTGCAAGAAGGCTTTGGCATACCAATGGTATGCTCATCTGAATATGTGCAACTGAAACACCTTCACAAACTCAAACTGCCCTACTAAACTCACAGCAAAATCCAGGGAAATGCTCAAAGATCCTGCCTCTTCACAAAAAAGATGAATGATCAGCCCAAACAAGAGTGGCTATGACAATGGAAATCCGGGCTCCAATGGATACAGGAACCTGCGACAGGAACTTCAAGCTGGAGGGATTCATGCTGATATAGAGGACTGATGAACAAAGAAAGCCATCTCTGCTGCCTCTGGGTGGAAACACGTACAAAGTGCTAGAGAGTCTTTCCTGAACTTTTGTAGCCACAGGACTGCTCTGATGTGTGTCTGAGGTTCAAATTTATACTGCCCCTAAGGCAAGAAACAACACCCTGGCAGCGAAATAAAAATATTATAGATACAGATTTGTAGCGCCCCCTGGAGCCTAGAAGAAGCAAACACCAGTGCTGTCTGGAGAAAAGTATCCTCAATCGAGTTCCATCACCATATACCCTGTCTGAGCTCATAATAAAAATTACCCAACCCACGGAGAAATGACTCAATGTAAGCGAGAGTCAGCTGAATAATAAACAACATATTTAGGTCCTCAAGCATTTCTAGTAGTAGACATCTAATTCAGGGAGCAAAAATAATCATGTATAAACATAAAATGCGTTAAGAAATTAAAAACGGAATTTAAAAGCTCAAAGAACAAAAGTCAGACAAATGAAATTTAAAAGTTCAAAGAACAAAAGTCAGGAAGAATTGAGAAAGAACCAACTAAAACATCTTGTAGTAAGAAATATAGTGAATGTGTTAGGCATGGTGGCACATGGTATTGTCCCACTACTCAAGAGGCTGAGGCAGGAAGATCTGTTGAGTGCAGGGATTTGAGACCAGCCTAGGCAATATAGTGAGACTCTGTCTTTAAAGCAAACAAAGAAATTTAATGATTGAAATTGAAACCTCAATTGTTGTGTTATGTAGCAGATCAGATTGTCTGAAGACAGAATGAACCAGAGGACAGATCTGAAGATATTACTGAGAATACAATGCAAGGTGACAAGGAAAGAAAAATAGGAGAGGTTTGAAGACATGCATGATAGAATTTGTAAGTCTAACACTTGTCTAATTGGAGTTCCAGAAGATTAAAATAGAGAAAGCCTAGGAGAGGCAATATTTGAAGAGATAGTGCCTAAGAATTTCTCAAAACTGTTCAAAGATAACAAAATTCCAATCTAGGAAAAATAATGTTTATCAAGCAGCATAACTAAAAAGAATCTATATGTAATCATTTCAAATTAAATAAGACATCAAGAAAAATAACGAAGTGACAAAAACAGAAAAGATAATGCCACAAAAAATAAAAGCAACCATATTTCATCCATTCCAAGATATATATTTTCTCACAATTTAACATGTCTGAATTGTGACTAACCTTATCAGTGATGGAGTCTTACAATTATAATTGACAGTTTTTTGTTTCTTACTGTTAATAAAATAATGATGAATTGGATTTTCAGTGATACGAACATTTATGAATGAAATATGGTAAACTGGCCACATACTTGTCAACAGCAACAATAGAAACCCGAAGACAGAGAACAAATATATTCAAGATGCTGACAGAAAATAAAGAGTTGATATTTCTGTTCCTATCCATGAGGAAAACTGGACAAACCATATGAAAAAATTTGTTTTCAGATCTTGGGCAACGAACAGAGCAGAACAGTAATCTCTGAAAAAAGAAAAGCAAATAAGGTGAACTCTATGATGACTCGGCACTTTCTCGACTGTAATCCAAGAAGAGGAACCAAGGCACAGCATGGTGATTGTTCTGAGCTGAGGAGAGGTAGAAGGCAGGGGAAGCCAAGGAAGCTTGGATTTGAGAGGTAGAGTATCAGACAAGAGTGAGCCAAGCACATAAACACCTCTAAAACTCTACCTTTGGGTCCTTTTGAGTCTCTGAATGAATGCTAGGCCAAGCATATATCAGGTAAAACTTTCTGCATTTAGGCAAAGAAAAGCTGCAAGGGAGCTGGAAATTGAATAACTACTAGATCTCTCACAAGGCTGGGAGACGTTTAAGTTCTAATCAGAGTGGAAAGACCCTGCTGAATTTCCTTGGCATTCAGCAGAGAGCCCAGAATGGTCATGACTTGGGCATAGGGCTGACTGAGTGCTCATGTAAAAGCAACCCTAACACCCAACCTAACAAAAATTAAAACTAAGCTTCAAAGGCATCAAACTGATCTGCAAGTAAATTAAGTGTTGGACACAAGAAAGCCAAACATTCTTTAAAGCAAGAAAACAAAACTAAACACTCAACTGCATAATGTTCACAATGTTCAGCATCCATTAAATATTATTAGATGAAACATGAAAATGTGAACTTTTTCAAATTATTCTTTAATGATAGCAGGTTGAAATTGGAGTTTAGTAACAATGAGATGTCTACAAAATCCCTCAAATATTAGGAAATTAAGCAACATAGTTTTAAAGAATACATGGGTCAAGGAAGAAATCAAAAGAATGATTGAAAAGAGGAGAAATAGAATAAATATTTAAGAATGAATAATATACATATTGTGCATATAAAATTTGTGGCCTAATTTTTATGTTAAAAATGTAGAAGTTAGAACTAAAATACTGGACAAAAAACAACACAAAACAAAAACAGACGCTGATTACTCCTCACCCCACCCCTTGGCAACCACCATTCTACATTGTATCTATGAATTTGACTACTCTACGAACTTCATTTCAATGGAATCATAAAATATTTGTCCTTTGTAACTGGCTTATCTCACTTAGCAGAATGTAATTCATGTCACAGCATGTGTTTTACACATGCTTCTGTGAGAAAAGAAATTGAGGTTATTTATTGTTTGAGATGAGAATTGAGATTTTGATTTCTTTAGGCTTTGATTTATTTTACCATAAAATAATATGGTAAAATGTCTATCTTAGTCACTGAAAATAGGGAAATAAACTCTATAACTTTAAGACAGTAGAAAAAAATGGACTAAGAAAAAAAGCTCAAGCAATCCAAAAGAAGGGGGGAAA